GCCTCGTCCGAAGTCTATGGAGGTCAGGGCCTAAAGCACGCCCCCAAGCAGTGACCCCGGGGGAGTTCCTAGTTGATGTGCATCAGCAGGGCTCCCCCTGCTGGTGTTAACCCTTCCCGGTCTTCAAGCAAACAGGCTGAAGCCAGATAGTCGAATAGGACCAATGCCTAAGCCAATACCGCTCTTTACCTGTAACCAATAAAGTTGTGGCCAATTTTGGCCCATTAACCTAAAATAACGGTGTCATGTGTCTTTATTCCTACTGGTGGGAGGCGGGAACTCGCCATGCAACTGTGGAAACAGAACATAGCCATTGTGGCTGGTAGCCATCAAGAGCCCTCTCCATAAATATGTCCAGTCCTGTTGTAAAGCCATCCAAATTGGTGGCCACCACTGCTTTCTAGGGGATATAGCAAATCAATATTCAATTAAAATGCCTGCTGGAATTTTTAAAGAAGTTTTCAGTAGCTGCTGGAAGTTCAGTGGCTGTGGTGGGAGCAAGGGGCTTGTCTGACCTCAACTGGAAGGCAGTTCCACGAAATTGGACCCACTATGCTAAACACAAGGTTCCTGATGGATAAAGCTGTGCATCTGAGCTACGGGGGACTCTCCTGAATACCTCGGTGATTGGGTAGGGATATAAGGGATTAGGCCATCCTAGAGGGTCTTCACAGAGAGCTCAGTTGATAGAGCATGAGACTCTTCATCTCAGGGTTGTGGATTCACATTGGCCAAAAAGATTCCTGCATTGCAGGAGGTTGGACTAGGTGACCCTCGTGGGTCTAAGATTCTGTGATTCTACATGTGCCCAGTTTGTTCCAATAAGATTCCCTGGAATCCTCCCACAGAATCCAAAATGTGTGTGGCTCTTTCTGCCAGTCAGCAGAGACCATATAAAACTGGTTCTGAAAGACCTACATTGGCTCCCAGTATGTTTCCAAGCACAATTCAAAGTGTTGGTGCTGACCTTCAAAGCCCTGAATGGCCTCGGCCCAGTATAGGAGGAGCGTCTCCACCCCCATCGTGCAGCCTGGACACTGAGGTCCAGATCTGAGGGCCTTTTGGCAGTTCCCTCACTGAGAAGTGAGGTTACAGTGAACCAGGCAGAAGGCCTTCTCAGTAGTGGCGCCCGCCCTGTGGAACGTCCTCCCATCAGATGTCAAGGAAATGAACAACTATCTGACTTTTAGAAGACATCTGAAGGCAGCCTTGTTTAGGAAAGCTTTTAATGTTTGATGTTTCATCGTGTTTTTAATATTCTGTTGGGAGCTGCCCAGAGTGGCTGGGGAAACCCAGCCAGACGGGTGGGGTATAAATAATAAATAATAAATAATAAATAATAAACAATAAATAATAAATAATAAATAATAAATAATGTATTATTATTATTATTATTATTATTATTATTAACTATAAGAAGGACCCTAGACCTTACAAGGCATCATGGTTTCTAACAGACTATAATAAAAGTAGACATCTTTTCAGGGAAACCTTTTGCAGAAGTTGTGAATCACTGGCATTCACATTCAAACAAATTCTCACATCCTTATTCAGTAATGGCTCCTTTTTTTGTCACCACTCTAGCACCCGTTGTGAACATTCATACACATTCAGCAGGGTGGAGAAAAGCTCCTGCACCCCCCATCCCCGTGGAATAATTTCTCAGGATTTAAATGGCATAATATGAAGGGAAAGAAAACTGCATCACTTGAGTAACTTGCAAGCTCACTACCAAGGGCAGGTGGGATTCATGCAAAGGTTTTTAGACGCCTGAGGGTTTCTCCAAGTAGCAGACCTGTGGATCAAAAGTGCAGGAAGAGGGCGATGCAGCTGGTGTAAAAGGATTAGAACATATTCTTGGTGGTGTTAATAAGCATACAAGAAGCAAAGGGGAGATGAAAACCTGCTGAGAGGAAGTAGAAGAGAAGTATTAAAGATCAGAATGAAATATACACGAGCATCATGAAATAAACATGCCGTGAGGGCCTTCCCAGGCCTGATCCAAACACCTTTACAGTCAGTTTTAAAAGCGCTATGGCTGATATTAGGCTGTGCTTGCATTACCAACTCTTCGGCCAAGCTGGCGTTAAAATGGAATCCTTCCACCGCTTGACAACTCAGTTATGTTTAGTTTTAAAATCATGAACTTTTCTGTTCTGATTGTAGTCAGCCCACCATCAGTCCTGGTAGGTCAGGGCTGGGTGTGGCCCTCTGGGCCCCATGTTTTAGTGGCGTAGTGTGGGTTGCCAGCACCCGGGGCCACATGGAAGGAGGCAGGAAGGGAAACAGATGAAGTACACATACGCATTCAGCTGCCTAACAGTGTCTGAGTCACCTAGGAGATCGCGGCTGCAGAGATAAGAAAAGAAGAGTTGTTCCGTTGTCTGGAGGGGTCACTTCCTGGTTTGCATGGAGAAGCTGTTTTCAACGGAGCCCATCAACAGAAGCGCACAGCTGTACTGAGGTAGCACCGGGTGTTGGAATTTTGAGCCCCATTTTGTTCGCCGCAGCCATGGTCATACGAATGGTACACTCATCCAGTTTCCTACCAAGCTGCTTCAAACTGGATGAATCCCCATAAAGACCAGTCCTGAAGCAGTTCTGGACAGCTGTGAGAGGCGCTCTGCTCCTCCATTTAACACCAGAAGACCACAGTGGTGGTTGGTGCCCATTGGAACTGTTAGGACACAAAGCCAGGAGACCAACGGTAGTTGGAGCCAAAGCCAATGGCACTCAGAGCCAACGAATTCTAGTTTTGCCCCCGTTCTCCTCCCTGCTTAGTTGCCCAAGGGTGACACTGAGATCAAGGAGCTGTCAAGCCACCCTATGGAGTGGATGCAAGCACAAAGAAAAAGAAGAAGAGTTTGGATTTGATATCCCGCTTTATCACTACCCGAAGGAGTCTCAAAGCGGCTAACATTCTCCTTTCCCTTCATCCCCCACAACAAACACTCTGTGAGGTGAGTGGGGCTGAGAGACTTCAAAGATGTGTGACTGGCCGAAGGTCACCCAGCAGCTGCATATGGAGGAGCGGAGACGCGAACCTGGTTCACCAGATTACGAGTCTACCACTCTTAACCACTACACCACACTGGCTCTCAGAGTGTGACCCATTTGCCCCAAGGGACCAGTCTCCACTGCTAGAGCTGCGTCCCTGCAAATACATCAAAAGTATAGAATGGCGCACAAAATGGAGAGGAAGACTTCGCTTCCTTTGAGTGCCCTCCACTTCTTCTCTTTATATGACAATGCTGTGGCTGGCTAAAAGGGAAGCTGCTAGCTGCTCCATTCTCTCACCTCTTTAGTCACCAAAAGAAGAAAGGAACCAGAAGTGGCCTGATGCTGCGTGGACAGTAATCACTTTGCCTTGCTGTTAGACTCGGCATCAGCCGAAACGGAAGGGAGCCTTTGTACAGGGAATGACTTCAGCAGGGATCCCCCGATGAGAATTTTTGTCTGACTTTCGCGGTTGCCTTGCTCTGAGCCACAGTTGCTTCCCCAGTGAATGGGAGGCCCTTCTCCATTCTCCCGACATCAAAGTACAGACAAGCAGAGCAAGAGCAGAATTCTGAGTGCTTCTATTTAACGTATGTGCAAATGTTTGCATTGATTATTATTATAATACCTCGGCCTGTGGCTAAGATAGAAGTCGCAACAGCCTGGTGTTCAGTTGTTGCTGAGATAGAGGACATTGGTGCAATGCTGAGTTTAGGAAGGGGTCCAATTCTGGTGAGTTTAGTAAATGCATTATTGCTGGACTAAAGGGACACTTTTTCTAATCCTGTTTAGCAGGACAGGAGGTCCTCAGGTGCTAGGTCAAGAGCAGCAAGGGTGGGAAGCTGTCCATAGTCTTATCACATGTATCCTGTTGGATTTGTAACCCATAAAACTGAATGTGGCCTGTCAGCTGTGTATGGTGGCCCACTGGGGAATAGAAAGCAGCCTGGTTTTGCTGCCTTTCTGGAACCACAAAATATTGCAGACCCTCCAAGAGTCCTTATTTTCCAGGCACAGTCCCCAATTTTACAGAAGCTGTCCCAGTTTCTGATCTGATCCCGCAATGTCCCGCTTTTCCTTAAAGGTAAAGGGACCCCTGACCATTAAGTCCCGTCGCGGACGACTCTGGGGTTGTGGCGCTCATCTCGCTTTACTGGCCGAGGGAGCCGGTGTTTGTCCGCTGACAGCTTCCGGGTCATGTGGCCAGCATGACTAAGCCGCTTCTGGTGAACCAGAGCAGCGCACAGAAACACCGTTTACCTTCCCGCCGGAGCGGTATCTATTTATCTACTTGCACTTTGACGTGCTTTCGATCTACTAGGTGGGCAGGAGCTGGGACGGAACAACGGGAGCTCACCCCATTGCGGGGATTCGAACCGCCGACCTTCCGATCGGCAAGCCCATGGCTCTGTGGTTTAGACCACAGTGCCACCCGCGTCCCGCATTTCCTTAGGACGCCCTTATTTTCACTGGAGAAATGTTGGAGGGTATGGAGTCATGCGACCTCCGAGCCAAGAAGATAAGTAACTATACAACCTTTGGAAGACATCTGAAGGCAGCCCTTTATAGGGAAGTTTTTTAAAATGTTTAATGTTTTATTCTCTTTGTATATATGTTGGAAGCCGCCCAGAGTTGCTGGGGCAACCCAGTCAGATGGGTGCAGTATTACTACTACTACTACTACTACTACTACTACTACTACTGAATAGGATGTCCCTATTTTCATCAGAGAAATGTTGAAGGGTATGATATTGTGTTGGGGCAGGGGAGATACCAATTCCTGGTGAACTGGTGGGGTGCATGCATCTTGGTTGGATAACAAGTTATGCAAAGCCAAGCCATCCATCTACATCTCATTACATCCAAATGACTGAACAAATCATCTTTGGGTGCTATTTCCACTTCAGCAGGCAATTTGAAACAGATACAGGTGCTACCACTGTATTTGCCTGTTTAATTAGCATTTACTAATAACTGAAAGCTTTTAAACAGACAGCCATGGGGCTGAGTTTATTGATGGTACCTTCAGTGATGAAGAAGGGGAAGCTCTTACATCCCTTAATAGTGGAGTGACAATAGGACAGTTCTTCTTCTTCTTCTTCTTCTTCTTCTTCTTCTTCTTCTTCTTCTTCTTCTTCTGTTGGTGTGCTATATATTTAAGTCATTGGGCCAGGGCAGATATTTTGCTTGAAGAAACAAGTTCTCTTCATGCTGAGGCATTTGAGGATCTCTGCCACTGAACCGAAGGCTGAAACCATCAGTCCTTTCCACCTGCCTCCCAAAATGAAAACCCTCTTTCCCTATTAATAAATGAAACACCTTACCTTCTTGATATCTGAAACCTTAGCACAAAATAATGCTTTCTCACAGCGGTGGTGCAAAGCTTTTATAGCAGGTTATTTGGCAAAACTCTAATTCCTGCAGCCCATTCTGCACTGGTCTACGGATGTCTTTATTCATCAATCATCTGCAAAACAAGCCATCTGTTATCACTCAAAATGCTTCAGAGATATCCAACAATGTGATATCACTGCCGAAACACACATTCCGAGATGTCTATGCAGTTACAAAAAATTAATTTCCCTTCACATTTTAAAATTAAAAAGTAATTGTCAAACCTTGACTTGAAAAGATCAAATAATATCACAATGATTTAATTAAGTATTATGCAAAAAGATGAGCTGAGAATGAAACTAAGAAATAAACTGCCTAATGTCAGCTTCTCTGTTATTAATGATGCATACTCAATAGGCTTATAGAAATCCCAGAGGTAAATGATATAATCGTTTCATTCAGAATCGTGCCCTTGATAATTAAAGTAGATGTATAATATAAAAGCAAATGCAGAAAGAGCACTTGAATTTGGAAGGGCACGCTCCATTTGGATGAATGAACTCCATCTGATGAAAACAACAACAACAACTGGATTTTGCCTATGGTGGTATTAGCATCTCTGTAGGGTGGTCAGGGTTGATATTTGGAGACCAGATTTAATTCCTTTTCCAAGTAGTGGATGTCGTGGTAGGGCTCTACTGCTCACCTGGCCTCTCTTTGCCTGCACCACTGCTGTATAGGTGCTGTTGTCTAAACCACTGAGCCTCTTGGGCTTGCTAATCAGAAGGTTGGCGGTTCGAATCCCCACGATGGGGTGAGATCCCGTTGCTCTGTCCCAGCTCCTGCCAACCTAGCAGTTCGAAAACACGGCAGTGCAAGTAGATAAACAGGTACCACTGTGGCGGGAAGGTAAATGGTGTTTCCGTGCGCTCTGGTTTCTGTGTCCTTGTGGGAATGTTCAGGGAGGCAGGAGAGGATATATTTTTTAATTATATCCTTTCCAACTTGCATTAACAAGTTCTATAATTTAGCAGAGTAACATTCCCCTTTTAAACTTACATAGTGGATAGGTTTGCCAGGCTTGCGTAAGCCTCTAAAATAAGTTTCCTGGTAATTCCCCTTTATTCCCTCCTAAAAGGAATAGACATGACACAGTCTTGTATAAAAAGTATAAAATAGTTTACTCACACATTCTGTTCACAGATGGATCCCAGAAGGCAGACTTAGGTTACAAAATATATACACGTGGAATCTATCCCATAAGGATGCTTCTTTGACGAAAGCAAAATGGAGAAGAGGAGGTGTGGTGGCCAGCCCTGTGCTTTTGTTACCTGCACAGGTAAGGTCACGCCCACCTCTGGTCACATGTAGAGGCGGTTTGTCCCAGCTCGGGAGGAAACAGGAAGTTTATCTACTGGCTGGACAAACATCCCTCTTCATGTCTAAACATGTCCACTCTAGGAATGTTGTATTTGACTGCTCTGTGTTTCACACCCCACAGTCCTGTTGTGCCAGAAGCGGTTTAATCATGCTGGCCACATGACCCAGAAAGCTGTCTGTGGACAAACACCGGCTCCCTCGGCCTGAAAGCAAGATGAGCGCTGCAACCCCATAGTCGCCTTTGACTGGACTTAACCGTCCAGGGGTCCTTTACCATTACTGGAATGGAGAGTAGCCGGGGGTGGGGTGGGGTGGGCAGTGAGATCAGCACATTGCAAATGTGTTGGTGCGTTTACACCACACCAGCCTTGCTGCCTCCTTCATACCCTCTGTCATTTCTCCGATGAAAATAGGGACGTCCCATTCCATAAATATAATTTTACTTTTTATACCACACACATCTGACTGGGTTGCTCCAGCCACTCTGGGTGTCCTTGCACTCATGGTGGAGTACGGTTCCTGTCTCAGTGCTAGGTAGCTGGCAAGTAGCATCCTGAATAAGTGTGGAGTTAGCACTGTTGTGGTGTGCAAACACTTCAATCCACTTTTGTACCCTGCTTCATTAAAAAAGGTGCATGTAATTCAACATAGTGCCAAGGAGATCATGCCATCAGTGCAAGGATTGCTGCTTACGCAGCAGAATAAGCTCCTCTCTCCTCTGCCTCCCCACACTGTTCTTGGAGGGGGGGGAGAAGGGTTCGCACAACTCTCTGCACAGATTTGGAAAAGGGGAAAGTCGTATTGTGCTAGCAGGAGTCTTTGCACTGGCTTCCTCTAGTAGAATGTGTTCACTGAATCCGTCTCAAAGCGCTTTTTCCAGGGCATGGGTGACTTTGCAATGTTTGCAAACAGTGAATCCCATTCCCTGCTCTCTCTTTCTCTCTCTTTCTCATCACTGCTGTGCTGTTGTGAGAAGAACATCACACTCTTCCTCTGCCTCAATGATTTTAATCAAAGCCAAGTCATGCAGTCAGTTCTTTTTGAGCTCTTTCCACCGGCTCCCATTCCATTTCTGCTTCCAATGTAAAGTGTATATCGAGAAGATTGGGAATCTAGAGTTCAGGTATAAAGCACCAAAACTGCCTGCAGAGATGGGCGGAACGACTCTTTCCTGCTTGCAATAAGCTGTGGCAAAGGCCAGAATGTGACAGTATATATCCTAACCCTCGTTCACAACCAATCACAAGAGCGTCTATGTTTATTTTTAGAAACACTGCATCATGTCTGTATGAGCATTTGCTGGTTAACTGGCAATGCTGAAGGGGTCATTCTTGCTCATCGAATCTTTGCCTGGCAGAAACTCTTCGGCTCTTCTTATATTTTGATAAACCAATGATCCGATAAATCTGATAACTGTTGACGGGGATGAAATGTATTAGTCACCCCACTAAATATTGAGTTATCCTTGAGATGCCTCAGAGTAGCAAACACTTTTCAGAGTTGGACTGAGATGCACAAAACAATCCAAAAGATTTACCTCACTTTTTCAGCAGTTAAGGACACAATGACTTCTTAAGCAGCAGCAGCAACAAAATTGCAGTTGATGTCTCACATTGGTTGCAGGATACCCTCCAACATTTATCCAATAAATATAGGGATGTCCTAGTCAATAAAATATAACAACAACAACAACACTACCCCACCCACTGGGTGGCCACAGCCACTCTGGGTGGCTTCCTACATACATAAAAACATATTAAAACATTATTATTATTTTTTTAAACTTCCCTATCAGGGCTGCCTTCAGATATCTTCTAAAGGTTGCATAGTTACTTAGCTTATCACCTTGGCTAAGGGGTTGCATAACTCTATACCCTCCAATATTTCTCTGATGAAAACAGGGATGTCCTAAGCAAAAGCAGAACATTTCAGGATCAAATCAGAAGCCGGAACGGCTTCTGTAAATTTGGGAGTGTCCCTGGAAAATAGGGACACTTAGAGGAGCTGATGTTTGCAGGCTGCAGCCCAGTTTCAGACTTTTGTGGCCTGATGCCATGCCGATGTTTTGTACTGTAACTAGGTATGGGGACAAAATTGATTCAGTGCGCATTTAAAAGCAAACTTACCAAATGTGCACTTTCTGAACTGAAACCCAGCCATCCTTCAAAACCCGCACATCTCCAGATTTTGCAGTGTGGCTTCTTCAGCCAAGTCACATGTACTAGGGAGAGGTCTGCAAATGAATGCATGTATCAGGTGCTCAAGGAAACCGTAGTCCGAAGGAGCTAGGGGGGAACAGGTTGTAGAAGGCTGTCACATTTCATGAACGTTGTCAGAAAGCTTAGAGAACCTTCAGTGAAAGCAACAAATGAAAACACTAAGCATGGACATGCCCCCAGCAGAAGGGATTTGCCATTTTAGAATCAGAGCAGGTGAGCTTTTCATTGAACAGCCATTATAAGTTTATTGAATTTGTTCCTATTTCCATGATGGACAGGCCTTAATGGGAAACGTAGGGTGACTGCAAAGCTTCTTCCTCTATATATCCATGCTGGAAACAAAAGGTAAAGGTTAAATATGCAAGAAGGGTAGAAAAAGCAATGATCTGGTCCTGTGGGCAATTCTACACTTCATTTTGCCATTGACCAAAGCTTTCACCTGCTTATAAAGATACCACTTTCTCGTTCAGAAGGACTGGGTTTAAGATCACAGCAGCAGTCGCCAAATGGATGACAGCTGTCAAATTTCCATGCACACATAATTTTCACCCTTGTGAGAGCAGCATTCTCCCTGACTATAAAGCCAGCAGAGTAATAAAAGATGAATTCGCTCATGCAGAGAGCACTGCAATAATCGGGTACAGTGATGGCTAACTTCTGTATCTTCGTGGCCAATCTGTCTTGCAGAGAGTGGTCTGGGAGATGGACATTTTCTTCGTGTGTCGTCAAGCCCAGTGAAGTAGGTGCCACCTAGCATTAATGGCTTCAGGGCTGTGGAGCACATGCATGTGGCTACTAAATACAATACACAGAGATGCCTTATCCAAAACTTGTCTTAAGGCACATAATCCTGTTCCACTGCTGAAGCTAAGCAGGCTGAGGTAAGGGTGTGTGCTTCAGATACTGATACGCTGCTTTGGGATGCAGCCCACTGTGGTCCAAAGAGGTTGCCTGGTTCAGCTCATGATCCAGATCTGTTTCAGAAAAAAACTTTGTTCCTCCTACTCCCCATTCACTATTATGGAGAAGGGGAAATTGCTGCAACACTTTCCTTTTGGCAGAAGTTGGTGGAATTTACCGGTAAAGGAGCCCCCTTAGAGTACAGGTAAATAAGACCACGGGCTGCTGTGCTGAGCACCTTTAAAGTACATCACTAAGGAGTGGCCAGCAGGGAGAGTTATATCCTGCTTACAGCCACCCTGCTGGCACCACTGCTAAGTACCGGGACCATGGGGAGGAGGGACAGGACAGAGTTTCATGGATGACCATCTAAAGCTCTGAACTCACTGCCTCCCCCCCCCCGCATCATCCTGATAGGTGGCTGGGACATGAATGTCAGGAAGGCAGGGCAACCCACCTGTCAGGTTGCTGTCAGCGGCTCCTGGCAGGATGCCCAGGAAAATATAAAGACAAGGAAAGTTTCTTACAGTCCTCTTTTATTTCAAACTTAAAAGAGAGAGGCTATAGCACCCAGTCTCTTGGATAATGGTATTGTCCTGAGTGAATCTCCATCCCCCGTCTCTCCCACTTCCTCATTCGTCATCATCATCACCTCCTCTACGGGTGCTGCTAAGTGTCCTCTGTCTTCGAGTTCTTTGCTCTCCTACTTTTAAGGCCCGCTGCATTCTGCGAGATGGTGGGTCTGGAATGCTTTCTAATGATGTGTCAGCCAGCTATTCTGGCTCTCCCATGATTTCTCAACTTTTCCCCTCATCTCCCTCAAATCCCTATTGTAAATCTATACAGTGGTACCTCGGGTTAAGTACTTAATTAGTTCCGGAGGTCCGTTCTTAACCTGAAACTGTTCTTAACCTGAAGCACCACTTTACCTAATGGGGCCTCCCACTGCTACCGCGCCACTGGAGCACGATTTCTGTTTTCATCCTGAAGCAAAGTTCTTAACCCAAGGTATTATTTCTGGGTTAGCGGAGTCTGTAACCTGAAGTGTATGTAATCTGAAGCGTATGTAACCCGAGGTACCACTGTACTGTCTTCTTCTTCCTCCTCCCTGGAAGGGTCAGGATAGGGAGGCAGTCTCTACCATTCCTCCTCTGCCCAGTCTCTCACACCACCCATCCACCAGTTGTTCCCTCTATGCTGCTGGGCAGGGAGACCACCTTAAGAATCTCAGAGAGCAGGGTTTGTGGTACGTTTGTGCATCTAACTACAGGTTACCTCTCTGATGTAACTGTTTTCTTCTGGAGTGAAACCACGGACGCAGTTGGCATCTCTGATTTCATTGCTTATTTGCTTGTTTGTTTAAGAATTGATTTCTGCAGTCCAGAAAAATGCTCGTGGGGAATCTCAAAATCAGAATATCGCTGAAGGCAACTTGGCTTACCAGATTAATTTAGTCTGCAACGGTTTGCCTCCCACTGATTTATAAGCAAAAAGGATGCGAATTCATGTGGTTAGAGATGCACTGGGAAAATTGTGGCATTAACACATATAAAGATATCATTGATAACTTTGTTATCACTGAGGGTTATATTTGTTAATATGGCAGAAATGATGGGACGTTGTTATTTGAAACACAACCTGCAGCAGCACAAGGCTGCTTGTGTGTTAAGATCCATATCTAAGTCCTTGCCCTCTGGCTCATCACTGAAAGATGCTAGACTGGTAGATACCAGGAGCAGGGCTTTCTTGGTGGTGTCTCCATACCTATAGACTCCACTCCCCCCACACTCACCTGAAAATATCATATCAATTTAGGCTGAAAACCTGTACCCACTTATCAGTCTGCATTTCATTAAGCCTTGTGCTTTGGATCAATTTGTATCATTCATTGAAACATAAAATTGTAGAATTGAAGAGTTGGAAGGGATCCCGAGGGTCATCTAGTTCAACCCCCTGAATTGCAGGAATCTCAACTAGATCATACATGAGATGTGTATCATGACTTTAACAGGCGCATTGGTTTATATGGGTGATGTATACAGTGTTACATTTTATTTTACAACTGCACATCACCTTGTGAGGGCTATTACTCCCAGAACACAGCTTAGAAACCTTTCAAAACAAATAGAATGATTTATTAACGACGAGTAGGGTTTTAAAAATAAATAAATAAAGGTACAAAATCATAAGTCATCGCCAGAACCAGCCCAAGGCATTTTGCCGCCTAAGTTGGAGCCTAATGGTGGCCTCTACTTATGTCAAGTCAGGATATATAGGATTCAAGACCAGCCAAGTTATTCTGGCACCTGAGGCAGAAAACCTTACAAACACCTCTCTCACTCCCTAGCAGTAAAAATACAAAAATAGGAAATTAAATAACTTCCCTGACATTGCAAGCTGGCTGCCTGAGGCAGCCTCCTAATGGTAGGGCTGGCTCTGTTCAACAGTTTAAAAAGATTTATCAGCAGCTGCAGTGTTTGAAAAAACAGGCGATGTGACCTGCCCAGTGCACGGATGTGGGTGCCACTGCTCTAGAGATAAGATGCATCCATCACCACCCACTAATTTCAGTGGGTGATGATGGCAGTTGGCACTCCATTGACAAGAGGCTATTGCTGTGGCTAGTGCAACCCTACTGGGCGACTGACTGCTGCAGAGATGTTGGGAAGGGAATTGTACCCTGGAAAGTGATAATTTGTGCATTTGACACTAAACTGTTTTTTATATGTAGCTCAGGGCAAGATCCCTATTTGGCCATTCAGCCTCCTCACTTGTAAACAAGCGTGTTAGGAAAAGCACGGATGCATTGCCAAAGCCCTGCCAAATCTGCTGTCATCTGTATGCTGTTGAGAGCCATCCATGAGGTTGAAATAATAATAATAATAATAATAATAATAATAATAATAATAATAATTTATTTATACCCTGCCCATGTGGCTGGGTTTCCCCAGCCACTCTGGGGCAGCTTCCAACTAAATATTGAAAACAATACAGCATCAGACATTAAAAAGGTCCCTAAACAGGGCCTCCTTCAGTTGTCTTTTAAAAGTAAAATAGTTGTTTATTGAAGGTGAAGTCTGGAGCCTCTTCAAGCCTCCACCCTCTATTTAAAATCGAGGTTTTGCCAGACTCTAAATCTCTAAATTGGGTTAAACCACAGAGCCAAGAGCTTGCCGATCAGAAGGTCGGCGGTTCGAATCCCCGCGACGGGGTGAGCTCCCGTTGCTCGGTCCCTGCTCCTGCCAACCTAGCAGTTTGAAAGCATGTCAAAGTGCAAGTAGACAAATAGGTACCGCTCCGGCAGGAAGGTAAACGGCGTTTCCGTGCGCTGCTCTGGTTCACCAGAAGCGGCTTAGTCATGCTCACCACATGACCCGGAAGTGGTACGCCGGCTCCCTCGGCCAATAAAGCGAGATGAGCGCCACAACCCCAGAGTTGGCCACGACTGGATCTAATGGTCAGGGGTCCCTTTACCCTTTACCTAAATATCTACACGGACCTTTCATCCCATGTCAGACCTCGCCCCTCAAACGCATGGATAGATGTCACACCAGAGGGGGCGGGGCTTACATGTGAGGTGACTGAACACCTGGAAAGGGTTTAAGTCAAGCCTTCACTGCTCCTTCTTTGTGGCCAGAGTATCTGGGTGCTACATATCAGCTGCTATTGAATGCAACATTCAGATAACACGGCTTGCACTCCTGTAAGTTTTCCATAATGGGGCAAAAGGCAGCTGGGGAATCAGGGATCCACAGGGAAAGGGTTAATCCCATTGATCTGGGGGACATCTCCTAAATTTTTGCTCTCTTCTGCCTCTCTCTCACCATCTGAGAACAAGACAACAAGGGGGAAGGCTTTATTTGTTGAATTTTGGCCTGGCACACAGGAAAGACCCTGCAAAGTAAACATCCTCCTGACTTCAGGCAATATCTAATTTCTGCTCTTACCTTGAGCACTGAAAGTCTGCCCAAAAGAACAACAGAACAACAAGTGCTGTAAAAGTTGATCTGCAAGATTTTAAAGCACCTATCCACATCATATATTTAAAGCACTCTTATGCCATGTTAACCGTCATGGAGAATATTGGGAACTGTGCTTGGAATTGTAACTTTGTGAGATCAGCACCATTAACAAACTACAATTCCCATTATTCCTTGGGGGACTCTAAAAACAGTACAGTGGTACCTCGGGTTACAGACGCTTCAGGTTACAGACTCCGCTAACCCAGAAATATTACCTCGGGTTAAGAACTTTGCTTCAGGATGAGAACAGAAATTGTGCAGCGGCAGCGGGAGGCCCCATTAGCTAAAGTGGTGCCTCAGGTTAAGAACAGTTTCAGGTTAAGAACAGACCTCCAGAACAAATTAAGTTCTTAACCCGAGGTACCACTATATAAGAGTGCTTGAGATATATGGTGTTGATATGAGCAACTTATTGGTCCAATAAAAGGGATTTCTAAAGCTTCTCCTTCCCTGTGACCATTAGAGATACTAGGATTTTGATCCATGCTACTTATACTTCATTAAGCAATGATTGATGAGGACAGCGTAATAGATAAGTTGTTCTCCATTTCCTCCATCCCATCAATTTCCTTGCCTAGCATCTTCCCCGCCCTCTTCCCACACAAAAGTCCTAGCTACGAAAAAGGTGATCAGGACTGACCTCTGCCTTTTACCACTCTCTCAGCGCTCTGATACCTTAATCTAAATCACCTTGGAGTGAAAAGTTTGCATTGCAGTAATTATTCTTAGCCTTTATGCTTTAAATAAGGTATTAAGGTTGGTTACAATGGCATCTAATTTCCTGTTTATCATCTGCTTAAATGCTGTGACTTCCCCTGCTGTCCTTCAGTCAACTGGTAACTCATCTGTTTTTAATGAGTTGTCAAAAATGATTGATAACTGCCCTGTAATTGTCTCTGCCTGTTCTTTCAGAACCTTGGGGTGAATATTATGTATCAGGGTGATAACTTGCATTTAGTTCCTTTACAAAATCTTAATTCCTTTGCTTACCCCCTGTCATTTCCAGAAACTGCTTGACTTAAGAAGCTGCAAGGAACCCCAGTGCCTACATTTTCCATTTATTTTTTCTCTGACTTAGGATCGTTTCGCATCATTACTGAAAAAAGTCAACCTCCAAATGTTATGAAACAAATTTTGCAATGTAGCAATACACAAAACAGTTTGCAGTTTTTTAGCCTCAATTTTTGGGGTGTGGTGAGTTTTTGTTTGTGTTGTACTTAAGACAGATTTTGATTTTATGGTTTTATGTTTAATTTTATATTTAGATTGTGAGTTTTGTATCTACTGATTTATTGCAACCTGCCCAGAAATTTTTGTGTTATATATCAGCACACAAATGCCTATATATCTATATCTCTCTCACTCTCTCTCACACTGTCACAGAGTGAAGCACAGTAAATCGCACAGTCCAGAGTTGGAGCAAAACCGTGATCTTCACAGACTTGGCTGAGTGAGCACTGACTTGGCCTAATGAGCACAACAGCTCATTCCCCATAGGTCTTACTCCATGAAATCAGTTGCTGAGACTGAAAGCCCCTGCTTCCCCACAGCTGTCTACTCCTCCCCAGGGCTTTTTCCAAGCAATCAGAGACTGAGCCTATCTTGCCTGCCTTGGCTCCTCCCTTTTCATGCCTCTTCTGGTTCTGGGAGTCAGGGGGGAACGGGAGCTTGTCGCAGCAGGACTCTTCACCAGCCTGACTCATCGATGCCTCTTGGCTTCTTCCTTTCCTGTTTCAGCTTCTGCCTCTGATTCTGGGCTTCTCTCTGCCACAGACTCGCCCAGCTCACTAAGCCCTGTTACCTCTGCAGCTTTCCCCTTTGACCACTCATTGTCTCCTGCCACCATTGCCTGGGCTCTGAGTCTTCTTCCCTTGGTGGTTCCCCAGCTGGTTCCTCCCACCATTCCTCTGCATCCAACCAATCCAACACACACACACACACACACACACACACACACACACAAAAATACAAACAGAATTAAACCCAGTTAAGGGTCTTATTCAAAGTCATTCAGCAATAATATTGGTGGAACAAGAAGCCGATGTGTGGTACTGAGTGATACAGCCCAAAATGAATGGATCCAGTCACTCCCAAAGCATTTGAGTGTACAAATTTCATGCTTCTGGTCTCTGCTAATTGTGTTCAGCTTTTGGCAGATTGCTGCTGCGACGATTCAGAGAAAACAGACTTTAGAAATGGCGGAGGGGGAGAGTAAATATTGCTTGAAAAGCGACTGTGTTGCTCTGAAAGGACAGCATGTTATTAAACTGTGTATGTGTGATTGAAGTGTTGTTAAACCCAAGCACTTTCTTCTTTAATTAAACATGCTCCTTTCTTTCTTTTAAGATGGAAATGTCAGCCTAGGAGCACAATGATAAAAAATTAATTATTCGGATTTGTCAACCAGGAGGTGATGTAATGGGAGGACAGGGAGGGAATATACTTTGGTTTTCGGTTTGTTTTTTTAATGCAGCTTATAGAAAACTAGTCAGTCCGTGACTTAGCTGGGGAGACCAAGAAGCAGTTGGGAAGAAGAAGAGGAAGAGGAAAAGGAAGAGGAAGAGGAAGAGGAAGAGGAAGAAGAAATTATTTATTTATAAAAGTATTTTTATACTGACCTCATGAAAAACATCAGGGTGGTGTACAATGACGTAAAAAAGACTTAAAAGCAATATGAAGCAATTGTCAAAATGACTGGCTATGCAAGGGACATTTTGAACAACTGCAAAGGCAAGCCAGCATAAAAAGCTCTTCAGGAGATGCTTGAAAGTGAAAAGTGAGGATGCTTCCTGAATCTCTGCTGGAGGAATGTTGCACAACATGGGACTAGTAACGCTAAGTACCTGACTTCTAGTTGAGGACAACTGGGCCTTTGTAACACAGGTGGACAACTAGCAATGCTCCTCCACAAGTTCCCAGTGATCGAGCTGAATTAAGGTAGCCTAGACCCAAATTGTTCAGGGCTTTGTATATCCAGCACAAGAATCTTGACCATGACCCAGGATTATGTGGGAAGCCAGTGCAGATGATTAGCAGAGATGCTACATGTTGTTGGTTGTCTGTCCCCATCACCAGTCTAGGCTCTGTGTTCTTCACCAGTGGGAGTTCTGAACCAGGTGCAAGGGCAGCTCTGTACAAATCCCATTGCAGTAGCCCAGCCTTGAGGTTATCAGTGCATGCTCTAAAGTGAGCAAATTATCCCAATCCAGGTACGGCTGTATTTGGCATACCAGGCAAAGATGGTAAAAGGCACTCCGAGCCACTGAGGACACGTGGTCCTCTATTGACAAAGATGTATTCAGGACATATGCAAGCTGTGCACCTGCTCCTTTAGAGGGAGTGCAACTCCATCAAGGACAGGCAACTGACCCAACTTCCAGACATGGGAAGAATCTATCAACAGAGCCTCCATCTTCCCAGGATTCAAACTCTGTTTATTGGTCCTCAGCTGGTCCACCACTGCATTAAGACACTGATCATGGCTTGCACAGCCTCTCCTGAGTCAGATGTTATGGAGAAGTAGAGTTGTGTGTGATCATGCTCCGAAACTCCTAGTGACTGTTCCCAGTGGCTTCATATAGAGTTGAATAGCACTGGAGACAAAATAGTGTCCCATGGACCCCGAATGCAACTCTCTGGACTTGGCCATGCCATTAGGAAGGGAACCACTGTAATACAGTGCCTCTGATACCATGGTCAATGATATCAAAATCCCCTGAGAAACTGAGTAATACTAGCAAGCTCACATTCCCCCTGACCTTCTCCTGAGACAGGTCATCTGTCAGGGCAACCAAGGCTGATTCACTGTCAGGGACTGGGCAGAGGAGGAATAGTGGAGACCGCTTCCCCAGCCTGACCCTTCCAGAGAAAAAGGAGACAGTTCAGAATTACAACAGGGGGTTGAGGGAGATCACAACTCTGAGGCAGATGAGGGGGAAAGCTGGGAAATAATGGGAGAGGAGGAGGAGGAGGAGGAAGAAACACCAGGGGAGAGAGAACTGACAGACTCAGTGTCTTTAGAAAGCATTCCAGACCCCCCGCATATGCTCAGAGACTTTGCGCTGTTCATTGGGGGAGATAGGAAGCCCAGAGCACTTGTTCTTTAGATGTCCCTTTTATGAAGAGGCACGTAGTAAGACCATTGATCCCCTACTGGTGAGGCTCGCTGACCTCCCGGAAAAGCAAAACTTCAACCTTTTCCTGTTAGGCAAAGATCAGAAGATGACCCGGATGGTCGCTAGATTCTGTGTACAGATCTGTAGGCGCAGACCATCTCCCAACTCAAACTAGTTTGCTAAGAAAATCCCGAAACTCAGTTCTATGGGTGACTCTGGGTCAGCTCCCTGCGGTAGTTTATTGTTGTACATTGTTTTTAAATTTATTGTTGTACATTGTTTTAATTGTTTGTTTTCCTTCTGTGACTGTACCCCCAAGTGTGTTTTATAAGCTGGTCTCCGACAGTAATAAATTATCTATCTATCTATCTATCTATCTATCTATCTATCATCATCATCTATCTATCATCTATCTATCAGACCCCCCCCCAGAACCTGGTCGGCATTGAAAGTAGGAGAGCAGAGAGCTCTGAGGCAGAAGGCACAGCTCAGCTACCGTAGGGATAACGCATAATGGGAGAGATGGAGGGGGTGGGGTTTCACTTGGAGCAATGCCATAGCTCCAGGAGGCTGCATTTCTAAGCCTCTCTCTGGAAATATTGAATAAACAACATTGGTAAGAACTTTCCTTGTCTTATCGTTTCCTGGCAACCTACCCTGTGGAGGGTTGGAGCATCTGACGCCTGACATGCACTTTCAAAACCAGGCCTAAACAAATACTGAAGTTTGAACCAGATGAGCTGTGTCATCCAAGAACACTTGCAGTTCCTTCTCCGTCATCCTCTCCAAGAAGGAGGGGAGAGGTTCCATAGCTCAATGACAGAGTACATTCTGTGCACACAGAAGGTCCTGGTTTTGCTCCATGGTATTTCCAAGTTTTTTTTTAAAAAGGATCTCAAGATTGGGGGTGGAGAAGAAATTTGATTCAGTTCATATTTTAGGGCCAACCTATCTAATGCACACTGACATTGCTTTCACTAATGTATTCTTTCATATGCATGCTTTCTCCTAATGTATGCACTTTTGTACATCTTAGTTGCTGGTGAAGTGCATTGCAAAAATGGGAAATGTGCAAATTTCACCCAAAAATTTTTTTTTGAGAATTTTTGAGATAAACTACAATAAGAATCAAACTAGTGCAAAATTTGGAAATGTGCAAAATTAAGAGAATAGCTATGTTTCGGTTAGCATATTGGCTTGGACTGTATGGATTAGGAAGCTTCTCATTAAAATACAGACAAAATCAGATTTCTCACCTGTCCCTGATGTCAGCCTAGATCCGCCATTCCTGCTAAGCCCTTCAGTTCATAGGGAGAGAAGATCCTAAAAAGGAGTGTGATGAAAAAGGTCAATTCAGGAAACGTGACAGTGAGGGCCAGTCATAGAGACAAACTGGAATCCGTTCCAGGGAAAGGAAACAGTGGAAGGGGGAAGGGTCTGAAAATACACTTGTCTATATGTAGAAAGACAGGTGTTGACTTTACTGGTTCAACTGGATGGAAACTGAGTAGCGATGCTAAGAATAGACGAGAACAAAAGGAAAACATTCAGCCTCTACACAAGCTAGGCTAGCTGCTCTGTTTCCAGGGAGTTTTGAACAACGTAACCCCATCATAGTCTTTATTACCGAAGTGTTTGTGGCCGCTAAGCCTCTAAGCCAATGTGTCCATGTGAAGAAGAGACAAAAAGAGCCTTTGTGGTTGCAACATTAGCCAAGGCAAATGGGAGACCCCTTAGCGTTATAATTGGCAGTCTTCTAAATAGGTTGCGAGTTCATCCCAACGGCACATAGACTGAACATTTCAAATACATGATCTTGTGAAGACATGTGGCAGCATTGTTACAAGGAGTAAAGTGAATTTGCTTGTGTTGATGTTTTGCTTGAAGGCAGTGCTTCTGAAACAGCAGCTGTTGAAACAAGACATAGCAAGCAGGGTAATCCCCAAGCTGATGAGTGGTGGATCTGTCTGCAGCGATGATTGTTAAAAACTGCATGACCACACACAGGGCATCCCTGCGGGTTAAGCCTATCTGTGGTGGGCCTGAAATTACCCTCTGAATAGGGCAGAGGGTGTTCCAACAAACAGAATTCCCACTCCAGATGATGCAAGTTGATAGCCAATGGGATGCATCCTGCTTGTTCTGGAGGAGATACTGGCTACCAGGGATGCACAAATCTGTCAGTTGCTCTCTGTTACTCATTTTCCCAAGTCCTCCTGAAAATGCACCAGCATTTTAGTGCTAATTTCTCCTAATGCACACGTTTTTGCAAAGCTATTTGCACTATTGCCCGATTACACATTTCCCCAAAGCTATTTTCCCTAACAGAATGCATTTTTGTATTATGGTTTCACTAATATATAGGCACACTTTACAACAGTATTTTGCATTTTTGCATACGTTACTTGGCTAGAGAACTGCTTTGCAAAATTCAGGTGTTGCAGGATGGCTGCTTGTGTCAGCTCGCGTATGGTTTCAGAAAGTGTCAGTCAGGTAGGTTTGCCTTTAAATATGAACTGAATCAAACCCTAACCTTAACCGCAATCTCCGAGTGACGTAAGATTCCTGGGGTTCCAGGGTTTGTGTTTCCTTTGGAATGAGGTACAGGAGAGACTGTGTTGTCTTTATGATATATGGTTTATTCACACAAATATACAACCTGAGCCTACGATGGAGGGGTTCACAGCATTAACACTCCAAGAGGGTCTTGCCACAGCCTTGGATTCCAGCAGAAATTAGGCATGGCTTTGTCACTCAGCTGCCCTGCTCAGCTTTGCTTCTAGCATCTTGCTCACATAACTCCACTCTCAACTCTGGCCTTTGTCCTTCTAACTACCAGCCAGTTGTGGGAAGGGTGCCCACTCATTATCTCACGAGGAAGCTAGCCTGGCTATTCCAGGAATTTAAAGGGTCTTCGGATACAACCTACCCACCCTCCAACTCATAACAGTAGCTTGGGAGGAACTGTATCTAGGTTGAGGAACCTTCTAGATTTTGGAATTGCTCACACTGCGTACACCCTGCGACTCTTTTTCTAAAAGTCAAGGGCCTTTATGCATATTACAAAACCAGCAGCTACAAGTCGATATACAGTATGTTGTATCTGTGATGTACGCTAGACATATGGAAGCACTGCCCATCTTCCCCTCCCCTTCACCACATGTTCACCATGTGCACATGCCAAAGAAAGCAATGATTCATTCAGAATAAATGCACCAAGCAACAACAATGAAGTTTTGCAGTCTCATTGTAGTGGGTGTCTGCAGGGTACAGATGATGCAGCTGCTAATTTCATAGTTTGGTTCAGCTGAAGTTTATTAATAGTCCACAGAGCTTCAAATACACCCCTCCCCTAAATGGTTCCATACAATCAGAGAGGAATAGACTAAATCAGGGGTCAGCAAACTTTTTCAGCAGGGGATCCCTCAGACCTTGTGGGGGGCCGGACTATATTTGTGGGGGAATGAACAAATTCCTATGCCCCACAAATAACCCAGAGATGCATTTTAAATAAAAGGACACATTCTACTCATGTAAAAACATGCTGATTCCTGGACCGTCCGCGGGCTGGATTCAGAAAGTGATTGGGCCGGATCCGGCCCCCGGGCCTTAGTTTGCCTACCCATGGACTAAATTCACAGGAAGACTCCCTAACAATGCATTTTAAATTATAAATCTGAAATTAAGGGTGGAGAATAACTTCATCTGGTCTATATTTTCCCATTGAACATACCTAATTTGGACCTCCCCTGCTAACATATGGCTCAGGGTGTAATTGTCTTTTGGATTTCACAATTTTCTGAATTTTATAATACAAGTTTCAATTTTTTTAAAAATACCAGAATGTAGGTATTCTAGGATCAAATACATTTGGAAATGCGTATGATGAGCTAAAACATGTATTTATGTATGAATTGTTGTGATAAAACACATATTTGAAAACAGATATTTATGTGGATTTTAAAGAAAATCAGGTTGATGGGAAAAGGAGACAGAACAGACTTATGAGCATGTGAGATCAACACAGACCAGAAATACACTGATCAATCCTACTCTGAATAGCAAATGCTGGGGACAAACAGCAAGGGAGGGCTATTTCCATCACACTCTGTTTGCAAGTATCCTAAAAAGTGTCTGGCTGACTACTCTTGGGAACAGATGGCTGGACCAGAGGAACGCCTGATCCGATATGTCAAACACTGCAGAGCTGTGCCTGTCCTTATCAAAGATGGCCATGTGAAATGGGGACCACCACACCGCATACTAAACAGGCAGCTTTCAAAGCAGCCAACCAATCATATAATGAATCTAACACAAGACTGGCATCCCTTAGAATCTGTGTGACTCATGGAGAAGGCGACAGTGCAAGAACTGGCCCACGTGCTAAACTGTGCCAAACAGGAGGACAAAGTGCATTTCACGAAAGGCTCAGCATCAAATATGGCCCCAGAAAGATGTGGATACGATCCTCTACCACAATAATCACCTTTTGCCAAGTAAAGGTGGGCCAAAAACACAAACACACTTGCAGGTTCTTTCACCTGCAAAATGGGGGTGTTGTGCCATTCATTGGGGGGGGGGGCATCCCTGGAATTTTGCTAACATTTTGGTGGTAGTGGTTGTCTACACTAATTATAATTATAATTTATTATTTATACCCCGCCCATCTGGCTGGGTTTCCCCAGTCACTCTGGGCTGCTTCCAACCAAATATTAAAAACAATACAGTGTCAGACATTAAAAACTTCCCTAAACAGGACTGCCTTCAGTTGTCTTTTAAAAGTAAAATAGTTGTTTATTGCCTTGACATCTGCTGGGTGTTCCACAGGGTGGGCGCCACTACCGAGAAGGCCCTCTGCCTGGTGCCCTGTAACCTCACTTCTTTCAATGAGGGAACCACTAGAAGGCCCTCAAAGCTGGACCTCAGTGTCTGGACTGAATGATGGGAGTGGAGACGCTCCTTCTGGTATACAGGACGGAGGCCATTTACGGCTTTAAAGGTCAGCACCAACACTTTGAATTGTGCTCGGAAATGTACTGGGCTTACTTAACTCCATAAGGTGACCAACTCCATAAGGCTGCTTTTCAAACTTAAATTTAAACTTTAACATCCACTTGTAGCATCACAGTGTCTCTCCAGGAATCTAGGTCAAAATACTCCTGGGAACTACATTAAGTCATGACATAGCATGTCTCCCAGGGACATTCATATAGAATAATGTTACATGTCAATTAATATATCCCCATGCACTTTAAAAACCCTCCCCGTTTTCTCACTGCAATTACCCCTCCCAGTAGGGGCATGCCTTTCTCATGGGGTGCATTTTCCATTTCAGGGGCACTGAAAAATATCCCAGCAGCACAATCAGATGTTTCAGTGGTGCTATGCTAAGTCCTGCCTTCATCACCAGTTCTGTCCTTGTGGCATCATTCAAAGCGGTTGTCTCACTGAGAGATCTAGGAGACCACCTTTTCTCCCATGAACCTCCTTGCCACTTTAGACCTCTTCTTTAGCCTTTGAAGTTTGGATTTATGACTATCAGAGAAAGGGCCTTTTCCACAGCACTGTTGGGCTCCTGGAACTCTGCTCTGACATATTCAGCTGGTGCCAACTTTCTTATCTTCTAGGCAGCAGGCAAAGTCTATCTTGCACTTTTGTGCTTGTGACAGCTTTTGATGGTTTTTATGATCCATCTAAATTACCTTTCACATGGAGCGCTTCCATATGAGTTGTTTATTGAACATTCATCCTGATTTATTCGCAAGGAGATTAGACCATTTAAAGAGCATTCATTCTGATTTAATTGCAAGAGGTTAGATGATGCTGTGTTAGAGCAATTGATAGTCTACACTTTCCAGAACATCACTTTCCTTACTGCAAAAAGTCCAGAACCTCAATATTAACTATAACAGTGCAACCTGAATTTATTAAGTTTGTGGTTGAATCCCAACCCAAAATAGCAACAGCCAAGAAGTGCTTTTGCTGTCTTTTATCTTGATTGCTACTTGCTGGTTCTACTGATCTTTTTGGCTGATTGTGTAGGTGTATTTTAGTAGCTTTTCCAAGTGTGGTGAATTTTCAGGATTAGTGTAGCAGGTTCACTGAGATAATGTGCTTCTATTTGCCTTCGTCCAAAGCACCTCTCTGTGACTTATTCTTATTATTAATCCAGGCAGGTGAATTTCACCCCATAGCTGCATCTAAGTATACAAACAGAAAATGTGGAGTCGAGTTAGCATTTTTGCAAGCAAGAGGAGAAGAAGCTTTGCTTTTACGCATTAGGGAACAAGCCCATATTAGAATGAAAGCGCTGCTTTCCACTCTGGCAATTCCTAAGCCAATCCTACTGCAGAATCCTAATCTCCAAGAGCTGACATTTCATGCCTCAGTCAAGAGTAAAAGCTCTGCTTCCATTTGAGAACTTATCACAGAAAGCTGTTATGCACTGCTCACATATTCTATTTAAATATTGGGTACCCGCTGGATGAGGAAGCTCAGTTATCTGAGCTTTTTTTTTTTATAAGACAACCCACTTCCTTGCAATATTCATATTATAAAAACCATCATGTACATTTATCAATGGCTCCTTTGCTAAAGACTCAGAGTGCAGTTCATGAGGCATTGCTTCTCTTGGGTGGCCTACTTTACCACAGCCTTCTATTTGATGTTATTCTCTGCACTGGGAAGAGAATACATAGGGTTATGAGGTTTGAATCCAGCTTTCTCTCTTATTGAAGTCTTGTACTATTTCTAATCATATAAAACCATTGCAGATTCAAGTACCAAGGTAGCCCAGTCCTCCCAAATCTCATGCTTGTTTCTTACTCTCCTATGCATTGCTTTTTTAAAAATATGGGTTTATTTCTCCTCAAACTACAGGTTTTAGTTTTTATTTTATTTTTCATTTTTTAAAATTAATTTTCCACAAAATATTTTTCGTAGACAAACAAAACAGATACACAAACAAACATAAATCATAACCTTATTAAAACTAATCCAATTAACATTATTAAGTGACTTTCTCGTATTCCCCTGGTTGAATTTCAGTGTAAATCATTTTAACTGTTTTCCAAAACCTAAATTCTTAAAAATTTAACTTATTCACTTAACATCTTTCTTGCTTTGCAGTTCAACTTTGAGCATGTTATTTCGTCACCCTACATATTTAAATCCTAAGCCTATCTGGTTTTTGCAAGCTTTTCCCAGTTAAGTTAGTTTAACATATTTAACGAAATAGTCTTTATATTTCTTCCATTCTTCTTGGTGATCCTCCTCCTTCTGGTCACGGACTCTTCCAGTCAGGTCGGCTAGCTCCGAAAAGTCCATCATCTTCATTTGCCAATCTTCCTACAGGTTTTAGTTTTTAATTCCCACCCACCAATGGCTGAATTTTCAAAAGCCAACCTTTGATCACAGTGAATTCAAGGCAAGGTGCCCCCCCCCAATGCCTCCTTACTCAAAATGAGAAATGCATGTTAGGATTATTAGCTAGTGGGAGCCGAAGGGCCAACACAGTTATAGACTGGTTGCAATTTCTGCCTCTGGCATCACCAGCTGCTTCAGTTTTTCTGCAGTTTATGCCACATTCATCTTGCTGTCCACTATTTAACGAAATTTCCGCAATGAGTTATGCAAGATACAAATAATCAACGTAATCTGTGGTGTGATTATTTCCACACCATAAATTCCAATGCAAAGGAAACAATTTATATAGCAGGGTGGGGTGGAGGAATGCAATCAGTTGTGTATTGTTAGCAGGCTGAAAACTACAGCAGAAGCAAATACGGTTTGGAGTCGCTGGATTGATTTCTATTCTGGACCGTAATGTGCCACGTGGTCGCCATTAGTCACGTCTAGGCAGGTGGTAAACAACAGGACTGAGGAATGAGTTGCCTTGCAGATGTTAGAATCACAGAATCATAAAGCTGGAAGGGACCATGCAGGTCATCTAGTCTAACCCTCTGCAATGCAGGAATTATTTTGCACAAGGTGGGGCTGGAACCCACAACCCTGAGATTAAGAGTCTGATACTCTACCAATTGAGCTATCCCAGTTTTGCCAGACTACAGCTTCCATCCTCCTTGATTGACCATAGTGGCTGGGGCAGATGAGACTTTGAATCCAACAACATCTGGAGGGCCACATGTTTGTCAGGAGTTCAGCCTACACTCGAGTAGGACCCTGGCAAAGACACATGTTCCCTCCCTCCTGGTCTTTCATTCGGGGGCTTCAAAAGCTTTCTTCTGCCTGAACATCACAGCGACCGATGCCAACCGACACCGGCACACTTAGGGATCCGCAGAGTTTGCACACCTTGCGTGACAGACCTCAGCAACTCAGCGTTTTGGCTAATCTACTTTATTTACATATAAACACACACGGAGCGCTGCAACATGGCTCACTCTCTCTCTCTAGCATCAGACAGCAAAGAGGAAAAAAACAAAACAAAGGACAATAGTCCCACTTCACGGAACACAGTAACACAAACATTCTGTCTCCGTCACTTCCCACTTTGTGGAGTCAAAACATATAACGTCATGTGAAAGACAAAAATCCCATGACTGCAATCATGGAGCAGGAATTCGAACATCGTTCCCCATCCCTGCAAAGACCAGACCTCTATTTCCGTAGGTTATTTACCACTGTATATTTCCTCTGCCTACACTTCTTAAATATTTTCCTCTCCCCCTTTTTTGGTGTTGCTCTCAGTGCTCCAAGTGATAGGGAAGAGAGCAAAAGTACCCACTTTGTGAGAGAGAAAGGGCCACTTCAGTCGGTGGCTGATTTTGCTCTGGGGCTGCCATTACACTTATTTGTGTGTCTAGAGTCCTCCCTCTCATCCGATTTAAATTCAAAGCTTTCAAACAGGCACAGAGTAGTTGCACAGACTGAACAGAAAGGGCGTAACAAGGCAATGCTTTAAGTTTCTTGCAAAGCTCGAGTTGTCTTGAAGAAAGTTGCTGCTCAGGCACTGAACCTTCAAACCTTTGTGTCTAATGCAAGGAAACAAGCGAGCTCTTTAAGCTGCGAAATCCATAACTTCCAGGCACCTGGAGGCAGAAATCTTTTCCCTGAAGCCTGCCCTCAGGCTCTGTGCTATAATAAACTAGGAGTCAATCTGCACTGTGCCTTCTCTGGTTGTACATTTGTCGTTTTCCAAGCAATCTCTTGCGGGCTTGTATTGTATAACCCGTTAACTTGATACACATACTTACCATGTGCATAACTGTAACACCTGATGGCAGTCCAAAAAAAGAGTACACTGCACATCAGTGAATATGCAAAGCATTCTAGGATCTTAGCCTTTGTGACATCATCATCGGCCCTGCTGCTTGACACTCATTTTAAAACAGAGGTTTGAACAGACCATGGGCTGAATGTCACATCCAGCCCACAATTATTATTATTTTTGTGAAACCCCCTAGCTCCCCCTAAAAAAATTGCTGACCCTTCCCAAAGGTTCCAAAGCTATTGTACTGTCATATCCAAATTTTTCTATGGTTCTTCAAAACAACAACAAATTTGCCTAGTTAATACGCTTTTACAAAATTAAACTAAAAAAAACCAAAGTTTCGTTAGTTGTGCCCAGAGATACACTTTATGTAATGCCAAAAAGTTTTTTGTGCCCCCCATTGTCCATTTTTTAAAAAAAATAAAATTATATGTATGTTTCCTGCTGTGATTTGTTTTGATCCTCTCAAAATACCCTTTAAAAAAGACACCTACTTTTCACTTTTGACACACCCACTTTGACATGCCATGCCCTGCAGCCCCCCGAAGAGTTAACCACATATCTGTGTGTCCCTTGTCCCTTTCTGTCAAATGCTAGTCATCCCTGCTTTATTATATATGCAATATTTCTTGCCTGCCCTTCATCGTAATGTCCCAGTGCAAGTCAACAACCATAAAATATAGAGTTATAAAACCAGGTGTAATTATAAAAAAAAACCAAGTAAAATTGTACCAATGAAGGAAAAGACCCAGAATAAATTCAGCAAAAGAAGTGAGTACAACAAAATAAAACATCTTAACTGCTGAAGACCAGGGTAAAGAGGGGCGCCTTCCGCAAATGGGGAAAGCTATACTGTACAGTGAAACTGGCAGACACAACTCTGTAGGGAGGGAGCTCCACAATTTTGGGACTGCCACAGGGAAAGGCCTCTCCTGTTTCCCACACTTCTGAGAATGGCAGAACTACCAAGAGAGCCCAATCTTAACACCCAAGAGGATGGTGTTTAAGGGTTTAAAACACTACTATGAATACCTTGAATTGCACCCAGAAACAAACAGGCAACTTGTGTAGCTGTTTTGAAGCAGGGTTTACATGAACTCTGAATGGAACCCAAAATTTTGAAACAAGTTTCCGAATCATCTTCGAGGGCAACCCCTTGTACAGCACATTGCAATTGTCCAATCTGGAGGCTACTATAGCAGGTTTTTTTTTTTAAAAAATGTTTCATTATATCCCTCCTTTTTCTCCAAAGAGCTCCAGGTGGTGTACATGGTAATGTCCCCCCCCCCATTTAATCCCCACAACAACCCTGTGAGGTAAGTCACGCTGAAGAAGAAGAAGAAGAAGAAGAAGAAGAAGAAGAAGAAGAAGAAGAAGAAGAAGAGGAGGAGGAGTTTGGATTTGATATCCCGCCTTTCACTCCTCTTCAGGAGTCTCAAAGCGGCTAACATTCTCCTTTCCCTTCCTCCCCCACAACAAACACTCTGTGAAGTGAGTGGGGCTGAGAGACTTGAAAGAAGTGTGACTGGCCCAAGGTCACCCAGCAGCTGCATGTGGAGGGGCGGAGACGCGAACCCGGTTCCCCAGATTACAAGACTACTGCTCTTAACCACTACACCACACTGGCTGAGAGGCAGAGACTGACCCAAGGTCACCCAGCAGGCTTCGTGGCCAAGTGGGAATTTGAGCCCTGGTTTCCCAAGTCCTAGTCCAAAACTCTAACTGTTACACCACAGTGACCAAGTGGCCTCTGTCTAAGGGGAGCTACAGCTGGCAAACCACTGGAGGTGATCTCCAATGACAGGACCTGTTCCTTCTTAGCGAGTGCTCAGCTCCATCAAAAACTGGCTGCCTCCCACCTCCTGAACTCAAGAACTTGGAATACATAACGCCTCTGCCTTTTCGGGATTCAGCAACAATTTATTGGCTCAGATCCAGCCCATCACCGCCTCTGCAATGATGTTTCCCTGCCCCAGGGGATGAGCAGCTGTTCTGTTTGTCAGCATCATTTGGCTGACCCCTTCTCAGCAATTAGAAAGCTGCGGACATTTCATATTGCTTCAGTTGAGCCAAAGGCTATGGAGGTTCACTGATAAGCAATGTGGAAGCCTCATTACTCTGGCCAGGTACAAACTTAGAAAACACACCTCCTCCTTGTTTGTTTTGAAAAATTAGAGGATTGATTGGTGACCTTTAGCTTTTAATTCCACTTAAGCGCCTTACATTTCTGAATGCCCAAAATTGCATATTTAACTAGCCACGGCGGCACAGATTGTATTACATTCATTATGCACAAGTGTTGGTTTAAAAAAAAATACTGTTTAGATACTGTTCTCTGTCCCTTGTGGTATCTTCCATACACTCTCGAGACCAGAGGCTTAACTCATTTCCTCTCTTGTGTGATTGCTTGCAAATCATTGCTTGCGCTCAGCCTGTAGGCTCTCGGAGAAGATGAAAAACCACAATACAACAAGTGGTAAAACAGCAGGAAAACATATAAAACTCGTGATGGCCTGCCACCAGCACTAGCTCAAACAGGATCAGCACAGAAATAAACGCAAGCTATTTCTGCAACAGTCAGCTTGTTTCCCAAGCCAACCTGACTTTGGAAGTTAGTCACCCTCTTTCTCTCTCCAACCCAGCCACCTCAATTCTCCTAACATCCCATCAGCCTCTTGATTCTTCAAAGTCTTCCCCCACTTTGCTTTGAACCTGGAATAGACCCTCCAGATGTTGCTGAAATCCCATTGGCTCAAACCAGCATAGCCAGTGATGAGAGTTGCAGTCCAATAAAATTTGGAGGGCCAGAGGTTTCTTGCCCTATTCTAGGTGCCCGAGAACTATGCACAAACGCCATTCCTAAGTTTTTGGAAGTTAGGGAATGGGCCACCAAGCATTGTTCTACTTCCCACTCCAGACGTTCAGTATACACACAGGAGAAGAGGGATGTTTGAAGCTCCCTCGTTTCTCAAGAACTGCAGGGCACAAGGTCCCAACAGGTTGTGGCAGTCACTTGGCAGCAAGAGGCAAGGGCAAGAGCCATTGTAATAAAGGACAGTGAGCTATAAGGGGCAGTGGGAGCTGATGCTGCTGATGCAATTTACTGCAGGCTTCTTTCTCTCACCCACACCTAGAAGCTAAGCTCTGCTTCTGAGGCTGTTCTGTGTCCCCCTGAAGCAAGGCAATTGGTGAATGGTATAGGGTCTTTTTGGTGGTGGCACACCAGCTAAGTAAGGAACAGCAGCTCGCTGCTCAGAATGTTTCTGTTTCTGTTCTTACACTGCTTCTAATTGGCTCCAGCAAATCTCAAAAGCTCTTACAGGAACTGGATACCCCCAAACACAAAACAAGTTTTCATAAACACCCTCAAATAAGAACCGCAGATTAGTCTGAAACCGTTTTGAACTAACATAACTTGTGGCTGCTATAGAACACAGAATCTCTACACTGTAATAAACAAAGAAAGAAACAATAATTTGAGCTAATTTTAGGGTCTTCCGGAGTAGCTGTTTATTGAGCGTTCCTGCGGAGAGGCTTGCACAAAACCTCCGGAGAAGTTATACAACACTGCCTGTTTCCTGAGCACCCGCCCTGATACATTCATGCAGAGGCGATATGACATTGCCAGGTTTCACTGCAATTTCCCCATCACTTTTCACTCAGGCAAGTGACAGGATGGAGAGTTTAGGATAGCAATTTAGAAATATCAAGCAGCCCATATGGAAGTGCCCTTAGCCTCAGTTGCACCATATACCTGCTGTTCTAATGCTAAAGTTTCCAGGTTCAATCCTATCTCCTGCTGGAAAAAAAAATCAGGTAGGGGGTGCTGGGGTGGGGGGAAAATCTCCCTACCTGAGACCCTGCAGGGACGTGGTCTGTCAAAGTAGAGTATGCTGAACTAGACAACACAAAGGGTGCTTCTAGACTCTTGCTATTTTGGATGAGATCCAATCACATCCCAGGAAAAAAAAAGAGGCTACATTGATTAGGAGGTCTTCCACAACAAACTGCTTCCCTCAAAGAACAGACTTTTTGTGATAAGGAAAGTGATGAGGAAATGCACTTGAAAAAATAAACAAAAAAAAATTAGGATAATCTACATCAGAAAGTTTACAGCCTGCATCAGAAATTTTTCAGATGTCTTAAGAGTCTGATCTCATTTAGCTTGTTTATTTTACTTGCATTTAGTAAACAAAGCTAAAAATCTTTTGAAACTGTCAAGCTTGCCTAATATCATATTTTCAATTGGCATCTGTTCATTGTTACTAATGAAGTTATGAAACGGGTGGGGGGGGCATGGAAAAATAAGGTACCAGAAAAATTTCCATCGCAGATCTTTGCCAATATGTTTTCATCCTTACTTTAGGAAAACATCCATTCCTTCTTGCCTTCCATCCCTTTGCTGTTCTATGGATTTATTTCTAATTACCTAACTTTTTTCAATAATAATTTTTATTAGTTTTCAATTACAGTCCAATAATAGCCTCATTATAACAATACCAATTTATAATACAATTATTAATATGAATTGTTCAAATACCAAATTATATAATTTAGATAAAGTGCCACCCCTGCGTGCTAGATTTGATGGCTTGATTATTTTCTTTATTTCTGCGTTCCAAAATTACATTCCGGTCATAATAATAATCCCTCGTACAACAACTGCAATATTAATAACTTCTATTCGTGTTGACACATTAAATGATTTATAACATTACAAGTGAGGAACTCAAACTATATCCTTGTTCTTCCTTAGTGTGGCAATTATTCTGTCTGGTGTTTCTTCCTGTCCTTGGAAGATGTTATGTCTTTCTTTCCCCCGGTTGTTGCTGTTATCCGTCATGTCTTGGGTGGAGCTGATATACCATTGTTGCTCCAGAAATTTCTCCATTGCTCTGTTCCATGCATTGTTGCTTTGCAACTTTAACAACAGCTGCAAAAGTCACTCTGTCCCAGTAAATATTACCTGTTGTCACCATTTTACCTCTCAGCCTGGGAAGAAGAGTGGTCTGTCAAACTACATATGACTCAATAAAGAACCTTATCAGT